GTTTTCAGGCGGGTAACACGCAATTGCTGCTGCTTCATCAGCTACCGCCCTATTGTGAAAGAATATCAAAGATTCTCTTCATTGGGATCGCCTACCACTTTGAGATTGCGCGTCGCAATCCATCCACTCAAGATTACTTCAAATTGACTTTCCAATCGGTCAGTAACCGTTGTGCCAAGCTTTCTCCGTCGTTACCAGTCGTTTTAGGTGTAGTGGTCACAGGTAACATCCCAATGGTCTCAGGTTCGATGAAGACCATCTCCATCAGATGAGAGGAAGCAACCTCGAAACGCGTCATGGATTGCAGTAGTTTCAGGCGGGCAACACCCAATTTGCTGCTACTTCATCAGCTACGGTCCCAGTGTGAACGAATGGCCAAGGTTCACTTCAATGGGAATCGCGGTCCACTTTGAGATTGCGCGTTGGCCGGGGAAGACAAATCAAATTTAAGACCATGAATGTTCAGTCTGCCGGTCACACGACGCCTGCCAAACCAGGGAACCAATGATGTTGCGTGAGATTCGAGATCGACCATGGCAGAAAGTAGCAATGGACTTGCTCTGTGATAAGGGGAAATATTATGTAAGCATGGTAGACTATTAAAATGACTAGTTTGATATTGACCTACTCACTGCTAGCACTACGGAAGCGGCTAGCAACAAGCTTAGTTGTCACATTTCCAGACACGGAATACCGGAGGAACTGATCTCCGACAATGGCCCGCAACTTACAAGTGCCGCGTTGCATACCTTCGCGTACAAGTGAAGATTTTCGCATCGAGAAACCAGCCCGTATCACAGTCAGTCCAACAGAAAAGCAGGGGCAGCGGCCAAACAAGCCAAGAGGCTGTTATCGAAAAAGCCAGAGCCACTCATGAGGACCCATAACTAACGTTGCCAGATTCGCAGTATGCCATTACGGAACATCGGTCACAGTCCAGTACAACGCATGTACAGCAGAAGGACAAGAACCATGATGCTTGCGACTGCTGAGCTCTTACACCTTGCCTTGCCATTGCATGAGCAACTGCAAAGGGGCTTAAAAAAAGGAAGACAGATCAGAAACGGTATTATGACCACAGGACCCGGGCGCTACCGGAGCTATCAGTAAATGATGAAGTGTAGATCCAACCAATACCGAGTGTCAACGATCGATGGAAGAAAGGTGTGGTGACCGCGAAGGTTGGAGAAAGATTTTATGAAGTCAGTATCGGAGGGAAGGTAATCAGAAGGAACCAAGTGCAGCTGAGGCTACACCGGGAACGAGAACGTGAACCCGCAGTAAAACACTTGACACCTTACAGATAGGTCACAACGACAGATGCAGCAATGACAACGCGGAGCGGAAGACCATACGGAGTCTTCTGCAGCACCGATGCTGCTGATCCCGAAAAAGGGAAAGATGTAATAAGATTATGCAAGCAAGCGGCAAGCATGCCGCATGCGAACAAAGCAGTTAAGTGGACAGCTACACATATTTCGTCTATACGCTGATTGGCTCGCTGGAGCGGGTTTGTTTAACTGATTCAAAGGAGGAATCTCATGAATGCAGCAGCACCGTTCATTACGGAAGTGACTTAGTTATTTATATCGGGTTTCCTATATGGTTGTCAAGCTGTCATATTTGCTGAGCTCGCTTTGCTGAATAAACCGTCTGTGCCCGAAGGACCGAATTCTGCGACAGATATGTGATGTCGATGCTGAGGACCGGGACCTAATGGACAGCCAACGTGAGGATGAATTAGTGAAGTTACTTTTGCTTATTTACAGACCAGAACCAAGCCACAGACGACATCAGGAGAAGTGGAGGAACTCCACAGGAGCTGAGGTAAAATTCAATTAGCAAACGGCTCCTTGTTGGTGACAACAAGCGAAACGAAAGTATCTTTTATTCCCCAGAAGTTATGGGAGTGGCTGATGCGAGTAACCCACGATGCGCCCAAATGTTATTCAAGAGATTCTTTTATCTGTTGCGGAGGAGCGTTTTGGCCAACCAAGGGAAAGGACGTCGCGGCATACGTTCGTGGATGTCCAAACTGTCAAATAAACCGCCAGATCGATTCATCAACGCCGCCGGTATAATCTATCCAAGTCAACCAACCGTAGCGGTTTTGAGGATTGGACGTCTTTGGGCCGTTGCCGGTCAGTCAGTCAGGAAACTGGTACATCCTATTAATGATTCATCATTTCATTCGATGGGTAGAAACCGTACAGATCAGGGATCAAACAAGTGAAACAGTAGCAAGGTCATTCGAATTCAACATGTCCACAGGACATGGAAAACCACAATATGTTATTACCGACAAAGGACGCTATTTTGAGTCGAAGGCGTTTCCGAGAGTATTGGAAAATTGGAACATCCAGAGACGACGCACATCACCGTACCATCCACAAACCAACGGGCTGACTGGATGGTTTAATCGAACAATGCAGACGGGGTTAAACTGTACGAATTTGGTGTGGGAGGAAGCATTGCCTGGGGTTCTTCTCGTGTATAGAGCCAGTAAGCATTCGAGCCCCAAAGTTGCACCATTCGAATTACAGTTTGGCAGACAATCAAGTATTCCGCTTGATAAATGCATAGTTCATGCGCAGAAGTGGGACATTTCAGCATCACATCGTGAACGTTTGAAAGCAACTGCCAGAAGAGAAACCAAGTAGAGAAAAGTACGGAATCAGCGCAAATACGATGCTAGGTATGCGGCCTATAAGTGGAGGTCATTCAGCGTAAAAGAACACATCAAGATGCGAAGTCACGATTGTTCGGAACATGGAGGTCTAGGAACAAGGAATTTCAGGGAACGCTGGAAAGGCCCCTATGCAGTACTCGATCGGAAAGGAAGGAACTTCAAAATTAACAACGAGGCGCGCATCGATGGATGAACGCTGTTCTGCTATGGCTGTGGCAAGCGAAAGAATAGTAACTTCGAGAAGGTGCGGGTGTAGGCAGGTGGAAGGCAGTGATTGTCCGGAGGATAAAAGGACTACGAAGACGGGGGGGGTAGAAATTGAAACAGGCGCAATGAAACAGAGCAGACGGAGCCACGCTGGCCTGACGGAATGAGACGAGAACGGGGCACGAGCGGAGTCCGGTAGTGAGTCTGAGCCAAGCAGAACAGAGAGGGTATTCCTAGAAACCGCAATAAATCAGACTTAAGCGCTGTTATCGCAGCCTCCAAAACCTACCCCAAGCAGAGTGGTATATCCCTGCTTGAGCAAAGCACTAGCTTTCGAACGACTCCTGGCCGATCAGAATGGGACATGTAAAAGCGGAGATAGCAGGTGAAATGTGCAGGGAATATTCCACCACGAGGTCCTGAAGGTGCACAGTTGTGTCGCGAGCGAACGCCAGGAGAGGTGGGGCGTCATGGGAGGGAAACGTGACTCATTGATGTGCGCCTGTGTGAGTTGTCGGATTGCTTGTGATCGCATCAACAAAAATTGTACTTCATTGCCGTGGCGTTCTTGCTACATTTTGACTACCAGATGATATATATAGTAAGCTTCGGCTCAAATGACTGTTGTACTGCTAAGGAACTCGCCAAACGTCAATATATATATATATATATATATATATATATATATATATATATGCGACAGCCTACGAAAAGGCATGGAGCCATCAAAATCATGGAACCCAAAGAAAGGTACAGATATCGTTAAAAACACAACACTACACGGATGAGTTCATGGTTTCGTCGGAGGGCGAGATACTACCCGGTTACCCAAGCCGAAGTAAGGTGTTGACTTAGGGTAAACCACCCGAGCGTTTAGCCAAGTGGCCTGCCGGCAAAGCAGTGGAGCGAATTCAGGGAATCGCGCCCATTGGGAGCCAGTGAATGATTGTCCAGCTCATACGCCTTTTGTTTGTTCGTTTGCCATACAGGGGCCCAACGCTTCCCACAATTTCAGCATTAAGTTGCTGGAATACAATGCTTCGCCAGTATGAAGCAAGGAGCAGTGACTTTATTTAAAGTGAGTCACATCCGCCATGTCATTGTTGTTAAACGGACATGTCGCCTTTTATATGGAGATCGCTTGCTGGGCGAAAACCCACCAAGTCCTGGAACACTGCCGCCGAACGATTTGCTGGAACGGGATAATCCCGAACCACCCAGTTTGCACCACGAGGAGGTTATTCGACAAGGCAGCTAATGATGTGTCAGCTATACGCCGGAACGGTGCTTCGCTGCCGTGGGACCAGTCGCACGCCGGCGGAGTAGACCGCGAGGACGCCCACCCCTACGCGGATTCGGACCGGCGCCGCAAGATTACGAGACAAGATCGTTACCTCTAGGTTACGGGCCATAATTAGCCATTGCTTCATGGCACTGCTGCACCAGAGATTAATGCTAAACACCGCGTTGTACACAGTCCGAATACTCTTTCATTCGTCCTATTAGATGTATGCATAATAGAAACCCGCAAAATAGAAAGCTGTTCGAATTTTGATGATGCGGTTCTGAACCCGAATTCTCAAGCAAGACTTAAGTAGAAATTCCTCGCATACAAACTCAGTCAGACAGTCGTCGCACGCCCGGAGAAACGCTGCACAGCTATTTTCTTTGTTGGGAGTAATAGTCAGTAATGTGCATTTGACCTCAAGGACATTGCACTGTCTTTCAGAAACCACTCTTTTGTCAGAAACAGTGGCTTGTTGGTCCTGGTGAATACAGATGGGTGTACAACCACCCATGGCATGTTTCTGAACGAGTGTGCTTTTCAAATGTCTGTACCATGTCGATTGGGGAAATTTAATTCACCAATCGTGTGCCAACACAGAATTATTGCTTTCCACACGCGTCATAGTACATTCCCAGTAAATGGTTTATAGCGTTAAGCGGAGATGTGCCGGTACTATTTGTGCACAGCCAAGCTAATGACAATTAATCTGCGAAGTGCGAATAAAAAGAAATCGCGCTGCATCAAAACCAGTCTGTTGCATGCTGAGTTGGCAAAAGGCGCCCGCTCCCAATCGATCAATGTTGGCAAACTCTTATCCATCGATCAATTAAATTTGAATTATCCTCCCATTATCCGAAGCGACAATTAGGTAGTGATTCGCTTATGACCGAGCATAGATGGGAATATGCCGGTTCAAGAGTTGGATTCTGGAGTAGCTTCGGAAGAAGAATTTCAGTCATTAACTGACATCACTTGCAACTGCGAACTGTGCCAAGCTCGGTTGTATGTTTCCGCAAAACACAACCTCGATGACCGTTGTCCGTGTATCCTTGATCAATCTGATGGCTTCCACCTGCTTCCCTCATCTAAATCAGTCACACCTAGTCCACAGCACTACGGCATGTCAGCAGTATATCCATGGACATATTCAATGCCATTTTATTCCGAATTGACTCCTTACGGATGCAATGGTTTCGGGAAGTGTTGCTGCCCTGTGGGTGGTAAAATGAACCCGGATGGCACATTTCTGGCAACCCCCACTCTTGAAGCAGCCTGCAGACCAAGTGGCCTAGACCTGGAACCCGATGGTGCTGGTGTGTGTAATGTGCCCCAGGTTTACATTTCCAAGGATTGTGTATTGCACGTAAGATTGTCAAACTATGTTTCGTTTGAACGATCCGTATCAGCTTACCGGCTGATAAACTACCGGAATAATTCAGCACTCGCATTAAACGAAAGTGGAGAGTATGGTTACGCCTATCACTATAACTGTCGCGGTCTAATCAATATGCATCATGGAAAGCTTTCGATTACCTTTGACAAAGATCGACAGGTTTTGTTAAGGAGTGAAAAACCAAGTTTTGTGAAAAAAGAAATGGAGTTTTATCGTCTGACTTCACATCATTGGACTGCCTGCCGTCCCGTTTCCATGGATACGTTCGACCGAGATAGAACCCCAGAGATTCTTAAAAAGGTCGGTGTCGAAAAGTCTGTTGATGAGGCGAAACTACGAGAACTGGTCAATTCATCGATCATACACAAGGAGGGATGCAGTTTGATGAGTAAGTGCAGAGGTATGACTAACATTCTACTCAGTATGCATAGGTGAGGCAAAAATTGAACAGAAGGTGAACGGTGACGTGGTGCTGAGCTGGTTCTACGAAGATCGAGCCAATTCTCTTATTGTATCTCCACTTTCGGGCAGCTTCAGCCTGTCAACAAAGAATTTGGAAATCATGGCCACTCCCAAGGCGGATATTTACATCGCCTTCGCGGATTTCTTCGTGCATGTCGGGTAAGTAGTCCCGTGTCTCATTGTTCACGATCCAACTGAAGCAATCCATTTATTTTACAGTAGTCAACAAATGACTGTGAGCAGCGGCGCTGTTGCTGGAAGGCACACTTTCGCGAAGAGTCATCCTTGCCTACTGAAATTGAACAGCACCACCGCGGATAACCAGTCTGTTGACCTCCGTCAGTATTGCGCATACACACAACCGTTCGGTCATGCGGGACAAACGCAATTGTCCAACACCGGCCATCATCGACGTCATACTCCGATCATGACGAGTGTGCACAATGGTTCGGCGACCAATCTTGCAGGCAGTTCTCACCACGGCACACCGTCCATGGGCCAGGCATCCGCCCACTGCGAGAGTGAAGCCGATCGCAAGAATGAGTACACACGTTCTGGGAGCTCAGGAGAGATACATAGTGGGTCACTGAAGCAAGAATAGTATAAGGTACTCGGTACGTATTTCATGGAGGTCCGGATAGGCCCAATGCACCATACACATTTATGACCAATAAGCAATACTATCATTTCACTTAGAGGATACAATCGCCAGTGCTAAGAGATGTCGAAGAGAACACTATTCGTGACTTGATTTGCAACGACAGAACGATGCGTATGGAACGAAATAGATGAAGAGAAAATATACTTGATATTAATGAAGCTTCGATCAATACGCGGTGGGCGGTTTGATGCTGGGTGAGGAAAGCTAAGCAGAACAGCATCAGTCAAATGTATCTTCACATGCGAGCTACTCTTAGTTGAGCATACTTATGGGAAACACCTGAACAAGGTTGTCTCTTACTAAGGTGTAGAACAAATGAGTGAGAAAATACCGAATGACAACAATGTGCGTATATGAACACTTAATGGAGTGGAGACACGTGCCATCGGTTAGGTTTGGATGAAGCTGTTTGATGGTACCCGTCCTCACACACCCTAGATCCGGTCAAAACTTGAGGAAATAGGACGAGAACAGGGCAGTGGAAGCCACAAATGCTTTCTAGCTGACCCAACTCACGTAAAAAGCACCATAAGAATGTAGACGTGACGCACACCATGACACATATATTAGTATCTGACAGACAGGACCAGTGCATGCTAGTTAATCAGTTAAGTGGGATAAGCGAAACAAACGCACCAGATGCACAGTGGGTGGTGGCTGGGCCGTTGTCCATTCTCGCATGGAATATAGCAATTTCAAAGGGATCATGCACTTAGCATTCACTGGCAACGACGACCAATTCCTTTATCTTGCAGTAAAGAGGTGGAAGTCGGGCATATGTGCGTGTTTCCAGTATTCGTATAGCGCGCAGTTATATTGCACATGTCAGGGTGGTGATAGCATATCCCACTCAGGCAGATACAGTACTAATGCAGTGATATGGCATAACCCATGTAGTCAATGGAATATAAGGAGATGAATACTGAGTGCGCCAGACTATAATCTTTACAAGCCGGATGAAGTGGGGACATTTGGCATAAATGCTGAGCACCCTAAGTATATATATATATATATATATATATATATATATATGCGTGTGTACATAACAACGATGCACATACAGTGCCATCGGAATAATGTCGGAATATGAAAGTAGGATATGAATGAGAGAAGAGAAAACGGTCAACAATTTTTTGTCCAATTTTCCACTCCGTTTTTCAGTTTTTGTATTTTGTTTTACTAAGGAGAGAGCATCACTGCAGCACACAGATACACATCCACCACTGATGTCGGTCTTGAGCCATAACTTCTAGGGTCTCCTACCGGCGACATTCCGTATCTCTGAAACTCCAACCATGGAGTCGAAATCGACCGACCAAGGCCAACCGTCTCGTCATCTTTGTCGTACGTCTTCTCCAGGTCGTAGGTTGTCCGCCGCGCCACGCCGCTCCCTCCAACCCTGCCAAGCAACCGCGAACAATGCACGACGTGGAATGCGCTGAGCGGTCATGCGCAACAGGTGACCAATTCACCGTAATTGGCGTAGCGAGACGATCTCCTCGAGCGAGTGACAGTCTCCCCTCAAGACGTACTGTCTAAATTCCGCACTGCTTACGTGGTGCAGCCACCACGCATGGGCAATGGATTGCAAGCAACGATGCTCGAAGAGAGACAAGTGGCGCAGGTCTACGGTACGAACAGGCCAAGTTTTGCAACCGTACAGCAGTACAGCACGGGTGGTCGCACAATATGCCCACCCTTTGATGAAGAGAAGATGTCATGGCGATGCCACAAGTATCAGTCTGGAGAAGTTAAGATGAGCATTTGAGATACGCAGCAAAAGCTCATCTCCAACAGGTCACCAGCAGTGATGGAACTTTCTAGGTAGGCGAATCTCTCCACAACCTCCAGTGTCTCGCACCGAGAGTGAGAGGTATGGGCATCTGCCAGTCTTGAAAAAGTATTTTGCACTTGGAAGGTAAAATATGCATACCATACCTCAAGGCTCCAATCGTCAAGCGGTTAAGTGGAAGGTGGAGGGCATGCGGACCGTCACTCAGCAAGACAATATCAAGTCCAAGTGACCTACCTGACAACCTGGGAGGACCTCAACGTCAGCGTTTAACGAGTCTTCTAGAGTATTTTAAAGGACATCCTCAATGGCAAATTGAAGAGGAATGAGGAGATAGGACATACTTGCTGAACTCTACTGGTGATCACAAAGGAAAGCGAAAACTTGCCATAAGCCCTAACTCTGCCCGAAGTCATACCGTACATAACACGCAGTACGGAAACGAAATTCCTAAACAGTGCCACAATGCAGTCCTGTCGACAGAATCGAAGGCAGCAGGAATATCCAGGAACACGACAATTGTCGGCTTTTGATATACATGGAGGAGATTGAGGACCTGGCGGTGTGAATAGTTGAAGGATGTAACCACGACCAGGGCGAAATGCATCCTGTTATTACTGCTCTGGCTAGTCGAGCACTGAGGAGAGTCTGCGAGTTATGATGGACACCAGAAGTTTGCAAACGACAGAAACCACACTTCTACCTCAGTAGTTGAAGCCGACTATGCGCAGGCTCTTTTTAAAAACGGGGACGAATATCGACTCGCCTCAAGGCGATGCAACCTTCGCTGTTGACCAGAGTTCTGAGAGTAAAGAGGTGAGTTTTTAACCGGCAAATAGTCAATATCGTTAAGGAGAACAGGAGGTATACAATCTGGACCGGATGATTAATGACGCTTCAGTAAGCGGAGTTCCTGTCAGATTTCCTGGTAAGAAGGAGGATCTGTGATAACAGATCACTCAGCACCAGTGCACGCTCCAGTGGAAGCAGATGGGGCTGGTGGCTAGCAAAATTGTTCAGCCCATCGTTCCAACTTTCGTTGAAGATTAATGAACCATCAACTTCACAGATTGTTTCGCTTAAACCGAACCGGAAACCTTCGGTGACGCGGATGAGACGGAAGATTTTGCTGGTATTGCCAGAGAATAGCAAGTTTCATATCACTAGCACGTTCATACCACCAGGCTTTACGGTCCTTTTGCATTCTCGACAATTCTCGATCCAGTGATTGACGTTCTTCCTTACAGCTGGCGTCGGCCGGGATCGAGCGGCGTCTGTCAATCAGCGGCAGACAGAAAGCGCTGATCCAGCTTTCCTGCGGGTGATGGGTAACTCCACAAAAATCATTGCTGGCAGTAAGTAAGACATCCTTGATACGTACCCATCGTGAATTCAGCTCATCGCCAGAAGCTGACGCAAGCAGTACCGATAGAGAGGTGTGGTGCTTGGACAGCGTCATAGGGTCACGTAGTACGTCAGTGTAGTTCAAGCCACTTTTTCTCGAACCACGACCTGAGTGCGGTGTATGGCGGACTTTCGCCCCCTCTTAGTATCACTAGTGACGTGGGACAGGGTTGCCCTGCATCACCCTCTTGTGTATGACACTCCGGATATGTGTCCAATGCGCCTCAACACCTAGGAGTGGAGGACTCTTCAGATTAGAGGCTAGCGAGCTCTGAATGGCATTGAAAATATTTGGAGCGACAGGTTCGGCTACATCAAGCCGTTTCCGACGACACTGTTGGGTGCCACGAAAGCGGAGGGCAACTTTAGCGTACGTAAGTGCATGCTCAGAGGTGAGATAAGTATTCCAAATTGATTTGCAATCCGTTATACAGCATCATCAACAGTAACAGAGACAATATGGTCAATCTGTATTCACTGCTGCCCAGGCGAAGGAGGTCGCCAGTTGATACGCTGGCGTCAGGAGCGTCGAAAGCTTGTACTCGAAAGGAGTGGATTGTGATCAGTGCAGAGCTGTAGCAAACGTTCTCCCTTATCCATCTTTCGAGTACCATAGCCATGCAGACACCAAGGTCGCGTTCGTCGGCACTGAGCCTACCAACCTGTGCGTTTAAGCCCCAAGCTAGCACCACGATACCCGTGCGGCGTTTCTTAAGAAGAAGGCCGGAGATTAAATGTAAAACTCATCATTAACTCAATGCAGGCTGCAATCCATGGGAGCGCACACCGCTACGACAAACAAACAGCATTTGGTAGTCTGTCAGCTGGACAGTCGCACAGAGCTATCTAGCCGAATCGCACAGTCACCTTTTAACTGAGATCCAATCAAGCACCTCAGCTTCTGCGCGCGCTTAACGTAGTCCCCACTGCGGCCAAGCGCGCGGCTTCAGCAATTGCGTGTCCGGATAAGTGTGGACATAACGTAGGAGCACGCAGGTGATGTCAGTCGTAGAGTTGTGCTGGAGTCCTACAAGCGAGGCAACATATGTCGACAAACAGGGTTTCTAGATTGGGAGCAAGGGTTGCTTGCGCCCCTAGTTGTTTGAGCGTCCGGATATTGAAAGTGGCCAACTTGAATTTGAAACGGGGTGCTGGAAGTCTTGTATTCGCGATTGTGTGGCATATAAACGGTCTTGCGTTGCTCATGGGCACAGATAGAACTATCCCTAAAGGCGGCATGTTGTCAGACCCGAAACCAGAGGAGGATTACCAAGAATGGGTGAATTCAACAAACATGGAACAATACATGTAGCAGGTGGTGCGGCATAACATGGTATAGCGGAGTCGGCCGTCAGCACCTCTGTCGAGGAAAAGGAAGGCAGAGAGCGTAGATAAAAATCAGTTACGTAGGTTCGCGGGAATCTTGGATTAGAGAAGAGCAGGCCGGTTTCCGCCCAAGACGTGGCTGTGTAAACCATATATTCACTTTGCGGCAGGTGCTAGAGCAGCGCCACGTATACCGAAGACCGACAATAGCTGTGTTCCCCGATTTCAAGAGTACGTTCGATTCGATTCGATTCGGTCGATCGATCGATTCTGTTCGAATTACTTGCGCGAAAAGGTGTTCCCACGAAATATGTGAACATACATCGTGCTCTATACTCAAACACTACAGGCCGCATCAGGGTCTACGGTGTCCTCCCGGATAGCTTTCCGACCACAAATGGCGTTCGTCAGGGTTGTCCGATTTCCCCATTTCTGTTCAATTTCGTCGTGGATTCTATCATGGAGTGTTCCCTTGCGGAATCGCACGATGGAGGCGTTGAAGTACTGCCTGGTGAAAGGTTAGTTGATCTTGATTATGCGGACGATATCGTCTTGCTTTTCGACAATGTTGAGGCGGCACAATCAACCCTGAATAGCCTATCCAGAGTGGTCCCATTATTTGGTATGCACTTCGCACCTTCAAAGTGCAAAGTGTTGCTGCAGGACCACCAGCCACTCGATGACCCCTTGACGCTTGCTAACGAGGAACTCGAGGTGGTTGATCAATTCACTTATCTTGACAGCTGCATCAGCAATGATGGACGCATAGAAACTGACGTTAGCTCACGCATTGCAAAGGCTAGAGCTGCCTTCTTGAACCTGCGTCATCTTTGGCGACAGAAGGGAGTTTCCC